TGTTCAGTTGAATTATCACAAGGGCTGATAGGAAAGATGTGATAAAGGGATGGGGAATAGGCACAAACCAAATTCCATTAACTCATTTACAGTTTGCAGATGACTTGATGATCTTATGTGGTGGTGGTGGTTTTAGTGAGAAGGTGGTAAACTTGAAAGAATTGATTAAAGCCTTTGAAGGAATGTCCAATTTGAAAATCAATTTAGAAAAGAGCTGCATTGCTGGAGTCAATATGGACTTTGAGGAGGTTGAGGCTATTGCAGATTGTCTTCAGTGCTCCATTTCTACTTGGCCTTTGTCCTATTTAGGGCTGTTGTTAGGGGCAAACTTTAGGGAGAGTAGGTTCTGGTATCCCAGTTATAGAGAAGTTTGAAAAGAGATTAGCTGTGTGGAAGAAAAATTACATCTCTTTGGGTGGGAGGATCACTTTGATAAGAGCTACCCTTGCAAACCTACCTACTTACTAGTTACTACCTCTCTGTCTTTAGGATACCATCTAGGGAAGCGAAGAAACTGGAAAAATTAAAGAGAGATTTTATTTGGGAACCAGGAGTAGGTAAAAAAGACCACTTAATCAGTTGGGAGGTTGTGGGTAGAAGCAAAGAGGAAGGAGGATTAAGGCTTATGAATGTGCTTAAGAAGAATTCAGCTTTGTTAGGGAAGTGGTTGTGGAGGTGGCCTATGGAGCGAGATAGGTTGTGGCATGGAGTGGTGAAGAGTATTCATGGATGCTCAGAGAGTGGATGGGATGCTACCCTTTCTATGTATTTCTCCAAACTGGTGCTCTCTTTGTAGATCTCATGGTGAGGAYTGTTATCACTTATTTTATCTTGTAGTGTCACTGCAAAGCTTTGGGTTTGGTTTCTATCATTGTTTGGGTGTAGATGGGATATGCCAACAGAAGTACAATCTTTAACCGTTCTATGTTCTATTGACCCTATAAAAGAGGAAGGAAAATGTGGAGGTGTGCATGAGCAGCCTTGTTATGGACAGTTTGGGAAGAAAGGAATGCCAGGATCTTCCAAGAAAAGGGGAGAAGCAGTCAGGCCTTGAAGGACTGCATTTTGATGGAAGTAGCAAGTTGTTCCTTCCATTATTGACTGTTGGAGGGATTGCTTGATCACTCTGGATTTGTTTGATCACTTCTCCTTTATTGACTGTTGGAGGGATTGTTTGGTCACTCTGGATTTGTTTGATCACTTCTCCTTTATTGACTGTCGGAGGGATTGGTTATCAGTAGCAAGTTGTTCCTCCTCAAAGATAAAGGTAATGACAAACTGGGTTCCCCCTCCTCATGCTTCTTTGAAGCTGAATTTTGATGGAAGTAGCCGTGGCAACCCGGGTCCCTCTGGTTTGGGAGGTGTACTAAGGAATGAGGCTGGAGAGGTTGTCTTATTATACTCTGGCCCTTTAGGTGTTGGTAACTCTATTCGGGCAGAGCTGTTAGCTGCAATACAATGAATAATTCTTGCAAAAGAAATGGGTGTGGAGCAGATTTTGGTTGAAGGGGACTCTAAGACAGTGGTGAACTGGTTAAATAATCCGGAGAATGCATTTTTTTTTTTATCAATAACACTAGCTTCATTAAATTAAGAGAAAAGAGGGAGTATGTATACAAGAGGGGAGATAAAATATCTTAGCTCCCCAAATACAAAATACAGAGAGAAAAAATAAAAAACCAGCCCAAAATACAAACTCCCTATTCACTCCTTGCTTGGCCAACCCATCCGCAAATGAGTTGGCACTCCTCTTCACCCAACTGTATTGGATCTCAATGTCCCTACACATCCATAAGAACTGCTTCTTTTCATTGTTAAAGTTCCACAAACCACTGTCCTCTTTCTTCAACCAGTTAACCACCACTTTCGAATCACCTTCCAGGATCAATTGGTTGGCATTTAATTCCTTTGCTTTTCGAATTCCTTCAAGCGCTGCAAGGATCTTAGCCCTAAGAGAGCAATAACAACCCCTTCCTCATTCCTGAAAACTCCTYCAATCCCCGAGGGTCTTGGATTCCTTGCACTGCTGCCATCAAAGTTCAACTTAACGAAACCCGAGGGGGGAGGGGACCAAGAGGGACAAAGAGTCCTCTTGCATCTAGCAGTGGAAGCAATCTCTTTCCAGTTTCTTAGCAAGTCATCGACAGGAAAGTCTGAAAACAACTCCAAAGATTTCAGCTAGTGGGCAGCCCTTAAAAGGATTAGGTCTAACAGTTCTTCCAGGGTTCTTTCCTTGTCTAAAAAAATACGTGAATTTCTTTCTTCCCACAATGACCAGCACACTACTGCCCTAATACTCTTCCATATAGTCTTCCATTGCTTCTTAGGCCATCTGAAAAAAGGAGAGAACAACCTTTGGACACTCTCTGGAGGAAACCAAGAACACCCAATGCAGGAGAAAACCCACTCCCAAACAGTTTTAGCAACCTTACAAGAGACCATGAGGTGGTAGCTGGGTTCCCCATCGACTTTACAAAGAGTACATCTATTAGGAACTAGGCAATAGTTGGGTCTCTTTCTTTGAAGTAAGTCAAATGTGTTAATTCTTTCGAAGAAATTTCCCAACAAAAAAAGCCAACCCAAGGAGGAATAGGCCTGTTCCAAATTTCTTTAGCTAGAAATGACAACCCAAAGGGGACAGGAGGCTGAGTTAAGGTTTCAAAAAACAAGGCACAAGAAAAAGTACCAAAACTAGGAGTCCAAAATCTGGTTTCTTCCTTAGCAAGATTTAGGAAAACATTCTCAAGGGAGGCAAGCAAAGATACCAAGCTATCCGAGTCTGTATCCCTAATTGCCCTACGTAGGTCTAGGTTCCACCCAAAGCTAGAAGCGGAGTTTGAAGGAACCAAGAAAGAAGAGATAGGTTCATTTTTCAAATCTGATAGAGCATACAAGGAAGGAAATTGGTCCTTCAGAGGAGAATCCCCAACCCAAAGTTGTTCCCAGAATTTTATTCGGTTACCAAAGTTTAGACCATACCTTATCCAAGGGGAGAAGACGGGAAGTAGATTGTGAATGGATTTCTAAGGAGAAGCAGCTGTAGCCCTTGCCATGATTCCAAGACCCCAACCACTGTCTTCCATCCCATGTATGCTAGCCACAATCTCAGTCCACAATTTATCCCTTTCCACTGAAAACCTCCACAACCATTTCCCTAGCAGAGCCATATTACTTTTCTTGAAGCTACCAATCCCAAGACCTCCTAGTTTTTTACACCTAGTAACCCAGAGAATGCATTTGCTGATGCCTTGGCAAAACTAGGGACAAACAGGGAAACATTGCTTTGGGTGCAACTGTAATTTGTGTCTTTTGTAACAGTCATGCACTTTTTGATGTAGTTTTTGTGTTTTCTGTATGGAAGGCCGCACCTCGCGCCTAAGGGGATTTTCATGTAACTGATCTTTGAATTAATGGAATATGACTCTTTACTTATCAAAAAAAGAAGGGTTAAGAATGGAAATGGAGAGACTAATACATTTTGAGGAGGAATTGTGGAGGAAAAAAACTAGGGTATTATGGCTTAGGTCGTGTGATAAGAACACATCCTTTTTCTATGCATTTACTAGAGGAGAAGAAAATATAACAGCATAATAAGATTGGAAGAAGGGGACAGAATTTTGGAGGATCAAAAGGAAATAGAGGAATTGATTTGGGAATTCAAATTTTATACAAGATTGGATAGAGTTTGAAGATGAAGTGTGGGAGGTTGTGAAAGCTATGAATAGGGATAAGGTGCCAGGCCCGAATGGCTTCAATTTATCCTTTTACCCAGGATTCAAAAAATACGATTGGATTGATAGAACAACTTTTGCTGATATTGGATTGATAGAAGTGGGCTGGACTGGCAGGGGAACAGCATGGACAATGTGTCTTTACCCTAAAGGGTGAAGTGCCCCACAAGGGCTTGGAACCCATTTTGAGATGTTCAGGTGGTATTTCAGAAATGAGTTTAAAATTTTAAAAAGATTTTCAAAAGACATGCTGGTGGTTATGCAGTGGGCTCCTAGATCAGCAAACTGCATTGCTGATCATTTAGCTAAGCAAGGGGTTAATAGAGGGAATTGCTTTTGGGCTTCTTTGTGAGATTAGAAAAATTTTCCGATATTGTTCTAATTCTAAGATGTTCTGGGGTAGCCGAGGCTACTAAAGATGTTGTAAATTTTTCTTCTAATTAATAAAGCTATGTTTTCTGTTGCTGATAAAAAAATATTTCTCAACTAATATATCTGTTAGTTGACAGTTACAGAATTCTGGGGAGGTTTCCGTGTATCATGGTTGTTTTAACCTTGAATTAATAAAAAAATAAAAAAAAAGATTGTTTTAACCATGATGTGTCAGTTTTGAAATATCCAACATAAAATGGAATTCACAAGGTTTTCCTGAACCTATGGTCTTGAGAAAGGTCAGTTCTGGGTTATTATCACTCCAAAGATTTGCTTGACACAGGGAATGACCTAAAGCCCCTCTTTTTTTCCTGATCAGCAAAGGAACTTTATTAAATTATAAATGAGGTAAAATACAACAGGTTGGAACACCAACCACCCAATTGTACAAGGACTAGTGACCTAAAGCCCCTCTTGAGTGAGGAATATGGGAACTCAGACCAAAACCTCCACCGTTCTTCAAATACGAAGTCATTTCTAAACAATCAATGGTTTAGGTTTCATTTGTTTACTCCAATTGAACCTGGACTAAAGAAGAGCACTTTGAGCAGATTGGTATGCCAGGTCAAGAAGGCCTACCCTTGTAATTTGTAATGTAAAAAGCACTTAAGGAGTTTCAAGCTAAGGTTGCAGAGAGTAAATGAAATATTAGTAATATATTTGTTAGACAAATATTCCATTTAGGTTACAAGGTTCATAAATACTACTTTTCTCAGAGCAAGATATATAAATAAAAGCTTTACCATGCTCCATGTTGTTGGAGATGTTTCAGTTCAACTTCTAGAAAGGATGGATATCCTTGATATATATCTTAATGTTACATATTATGCCTTTCAGGTTCAAGGTGGAGCTGATGCTGGTTCTCAATATGGATCTGGAGCAATTTCACACAGTCCATATGACATGCAACGAGCTCACATACATAGATGAGCTGGTTATTGGTGTTACCACCTAATTTCAAAGTTTTTTCTTTGTTTTTTTGGTTTTGGGGCACTTAGGATCTCTTGTAGCTCCACCAGGCCTTTAAGTTCTATCGGAGGCATTTTATTATTAGCAACAGTGTTCATGGGTGTTCTGATGTCCAAAGTTTTGTTTCCATTTTTGGATGGACGGATATTTGATGATCAGCCACCTATATATGAATTACAACAACCTGATGATGGCCTTCGCTTTTGGTTTTCAATTTATGATTTTGTGCTTCTATTCCAGTACTCTATGTATTAATATGTACATTACTTATGTTCATGTGAAATGTGACTGTGATTGGTTTAAAGATTAATCCTCTTTTATAGAGTTAAGTTTTCTTTATCAATTGCAATAAAGCTTACTAATGCAAAAATTTTACAATATTAACTTGCTTTATATTTACTCTTAGAATTTACCTAATTAACACTCAACACATTTATTCAGCTAATAGTTCTCCAAGATGAAACCTATTCATTTTCCATGTGATTGTCCTTCAACTTTTATCTTAGGTAAGGTTTTCAACCTTGTTTCTGTCTAAGCGTCGGTTCATGTAAAAGTGGAATTAATTTGATGCTCACAGAAATATCATAAATTTGTAGAAACTATGAAAATATCAGAAATTTATGATAAACATTTAGAAAAGATAGAATAAATCTTAAATTGCATGGCGCAATGGTGTAACATTACCAATAAAAAATGGTGAAGTCTTAGGTTGACATGTGTGAGAGCATGGGGTTTGAGTTTGAGAGTGGTCACTTTGTGCATAAAGTGCCAAATCTTAGATCCCTATCCTGTCCACCCTCCCAAAACCCCAGATAGCAAGGGGCAATATTAGGTTATGGATCTTTTAGAATAAATATTAATAGACACTTAGATTCATCTTAGAACCAAGACCATCATATTTTTTCTTTTGATCAGCAACAAAAACATTTATTAATCATGAATTAAAAAATGCAATTCCAAAAAAATGGTGAATAAAATAATTAACCTGAGAGGAGATGAGGGGCAAATAACTGATCAAATCTGATTGTCAAATGGAAGCATCAAGGAGCTGAGGAGATCGGGAAAGAAGGGGTGGGTTTGCAAACTTGATTTGGAAAAAAGCATATGATTTAGTAGATTGGTCCTTTCTAGAAGAGGTGCTTCATCGGTGTGGTTTTGGAGACAAATGGAGAAAGTGGATTAGAGGGTGTCTAAGTCCTGTCATTACTCCATCTTGGTGAATGGGAGTGCCAAGGACTTCTTCCCAGCTAAGAGAGGGCTCAGACAAGGGGACCTAAGACCCTTTATCTTCATTACTCTGATGATCATAGTGATATTCTTAGTAGACTGATATTGAGGATAGATAGATTGGGGCTAGTGGAGGGTGGAGGAACTTGGAACCAGGGGGAATATAAGAAGGCTCATTTGATTAACTAGAGAATGTTTTGTATGGACAAAGATGGTTGAGGATTGAGTTTGGGTAGAGTGACACTGGGAAACACTTCCTTGTTAGGCAAATGGTCGTGGTGGTTTCACATCAACTCGGACAAATTATGGCATGAGGTCATTAAGAACATCCATGACTTAAGTCTAATGGTTGGGATGCAGGCGTAAGCTTGAAAGCTTTTTTTTTTTTCATCTTGTGGAAAGCTATGGCTTCTATTTGTCCCTTGTTCCTATCTTTTATTAGATATGATATAGCCTCTGGGACCAAAACAAAATTTTGGAAGGACTTGTGGTGGGGGAATTGCCACTCAAGGATCAATTTCCCACTATTTTTTCTCTTATAATACAGATTGTTTGGTGTCTAACTGTGATATAATCTCTAACAATGGTTTGATTTGGGATTTGGGTCTACAAGGGATTAGGGATTATGAAACTTTAGATATTGTAGCTCTTCTTGATCTTTTGAATGGTGTTTTTATTGAACCCAATTAATTAATCTGGTTCCAGAAGTTGGATCCCATCTACCTCTAGTTCATTTTTTGGAAGAGACCCTTAGCCTCATTTCTTTCTCTGTGAAAGCCATTTGGAGGGGTCCAGTTCCACCCATAATTATTAAAGTTTTTTGTTGGGAGATGTTCCATGATAAAACTAAGACGTATGGGAACCTACAAAGGTGAAAACCTTTTTGGTTTCTATCACCTCACATTTGCTTTTTCTGCAAAGCAAGTGGTGAGAACTGAGAACACATTCCACTTACTAATTTCCTGTAAATTTGCATCTTTATTTGGAGTTTTTTCCTCTTTGTTTGGTGGCAGGTGGAATCCTCTTGTTTTTCAAAAAATCCTTCTTTTCACTTCCTTAAAAAAAGGGAAAAGTCTTTTGGAGATACACAAGAGCTGCTATTCTTTGGTGTATTTGGGAAGAAAGCAACACTAGATTATTTAATGACATAAAGGCTAACAAAGGAGATGATAGAGAACATAACAATCAAACCGATTCATTGGATCAAGTCTCTAGATTTATCCTCGCCTTGTACAGTAGATGACATTTTGAGAAATTGGAAACAGGCGGTAGATTCCTCAGTTGTTAAAGTTTTGATCAAGGCTGTTTAGACCCCTCCTAATCTCATAAAATTAAACATTGATGGCTGCAGCATTGGGAGACCAGGTCAGTCAGAGATTGGTGGTGTCTTCACCAACGAAGAAGGAAATATTTTGGCATTTATATTCAGGGTTTATATGGAGAGGAAAGTCTGCCAAGGCAGAAGTTTGGGAAGCTCTCCAAGGACTTAGATGGGCCAAATTATTTAACTTGAGTAATGTTGTTGAAGGTGACTCACGTGTGGTAACTGGGTGGCTTAGGGGTAAACAAGGATGGGCTATGGAAATACAGACATATTATAAGAGAATTGCAGAAACTAATTCAAGGGTTGGGAGCAACTATAAATTTGAGCAGATGGTTTAGTATTTGTAGTAGGGCTTGGGTGATCAAAAGGGACATTATTGCAATCTCAATGTATTGGGTGGTTGGCTACTGTCCAACCCTGAATAATGTTTTTGACCTTTTAATTACACGTCCCCCCTCCCCCTGGAAACCATCCCCATTGAAATTGATTTCTGTTCACTCCTTGTCTTGCCAAAACAAAAATTTTAAATGGGTGACATGAAATATAGAATGTGGTGCACATCATYGTGCATGCTTGATATTCTAAAGATCCAGTATACTCAAATTAATAGATTGTAACCATGATCATAAAGTTTATCTTCTGTTACAAAATGTTGGCGTCAATTTCATGATGGGGTACACTTTAGCTTGGCTGAACTCATCGTTTTCTAGTTGTTAAATCAACACCTTCTCAAAGGGAGTCATCAAGGATAATTGAAACAAGTTGTGATGATTGAACTAAGTAAACTGGCTTACAAGCTATCAAAAAAAAAAAAAGAGTAAACTGGCTTAAAGACCTGCAGACAATAAGATTGTGATAGGCTGATACACCATTGTAATTTACAAGGAGAGCAATGAACCACAAACAATGATCTTTTGACACCTGTTAATATGGACGAATTTGTTTGCCAGTACCTGGAATGGACAATGTGGTTTGGAGGTTGTAGAGGCAAATTCTAATGAGGAACTTTGTGAAATAGGACAGCAAGTCATGATTTTCTTTTTATGAGTAAACAATTCATTTCATTGCACAAAAAAAGATCACCCAAAGTTCCCCACAAAAGAGCTTCAGGCGATAAGGGTACAACAACTGATTCAAAACAAAGCAATACAGAAAGACCCAAACTACAAAAGACAGCATTACGGTTTGACTCTCGGGCATGGACATCCCCACACCAGGTGATCCCTTACTGCCCCTACTCTACCTAATGGTTCTGCTACAAAATTTGCACATCTAGAGCTGTTCATCCCGTTGCCTAGGAAATGAGCTTGTCTAAACATGACCTGAAACTCCAAAATGCCTTGCTGTTTCTGCAACCGAAATATCACTACTGTCTTGCAGTCACCCTCCACCTCCACATCCTTCATCCCATGCATACTCATTAACTTCAATCTTTGAATCATGGACATCATTTCTGCCCTTAGGGAGTTCCCTTGTCCTATAGGGCCAGAAAAGTTAAGTACTATGGTGCTGTTATGATATCTCTGAAGTCTGAACTCTAATTACTCCTCCCACTCCAAAGTCCAGAGATCCCCGGATTACCCAAGCTGCTACTGTCAAAATTGAACTTTAGTTTTCCCGTGACTGGGGCAGCTAACCATCCTGTGTTTCTTCACAGCTTGGTAGCCAGCTATTATATTTCATCCCCTTAGCTTGGTATCCAGCTAACCATCATTGAGGGTGAATGGTGATCCCCTTGAAATCTTCGATTGTCATAGCCCAATGGGCAACCCTACACATGGTAAAGTCAATAATTCTCCAGAATCTCCACAACTTCCACTCTGTCTTCAAATATTTTTGCATTTCTTTCATCCTGTACATTCTGAGTTCTGGCCGGCCGAAGGCATCTCCATAAAATTGTCTTTTGAGTTTTACAAGCCATCAAGTCTGTGGAAAAGCCCCACCACTTGGATGGAGCATACCACCTGCAACCAGCACTTGAGAAAAAATAATTCCATAGCTGATAAGCAAATACAGTGACCAATGTGCCGCAGCATCTTGGTAAGTTGGCATTGGCCCAAAATTATCCTCAATGCAGTGATGCACTAACACAAATGGCCATCATGAAAGAAACTTTGTCAAATTCAGCATCTTACTCATCAACCCATAGAGTATAATAGTCTTTTTGCTTTGTGGCTGGCAGTTAAGGCACTACCTGACTGGTGAAACATGGATAATATACCATTAATAATTGCGGAACTTCAGTTCACCATTAATTGGAAGAAAATGGTTAGGTTTGGTGTTATAAAAATTTTTAGGGATTTTTATTGATTCCCCATATAATAAATTTTTATAGATTTGTACGGTTGGAAACATGGAGAACTATCAAAATACAATAGAAATAGCATATGCACAAATACTCATTGAGATTTTTGTTCTTTTGTGATTCAGAGATTCGTGGCAGGCGCGAATCATCATGGTTGCATTGGTCATCTTCCTTTTTTCCGAGATTGTCTCCTAATTTGTAAAAGATTGCCTTGTCTACTCAACTACCATTAAGATGGTGTATTGTATTCCTCCGGTTAGAATTAAAGCTTGAACTTGGGAAAAACTTGGGAGTGGGCTGAGGCCTGAGGTAAGGTGGTATTCATTCAATCCCAGGTCAGTATCTACATTCTCCGAACTTACCAACTCAACCAGAAGGCACCTCATTGATTGATAATTGAGTCATTGAGTGGAAGTTTTTATTTTATTTTTGATTTGGTTCCTTAATATTTCATTAACCTGAGTTTCATCCAAATATAAAATTATAGACTGAGGATGAAATCTTAATTTCCATATAAAATATTATGATTATCTTTTCATTAAAAGAAAAAAAAAGCACAAACCAACCAAGCGTCATTTTTTTTCCAGGAGATGGAATAAAAGGGACCTAAAAACCTTGTACACCACGGTGAGGTCCTACAACAATATACTACTCGTTATCTACCAATAAGGCTACAAATTTTTCAGGGGCCTCTGTACTCGTGCCAAGACAGATTGCTGAATAGCAGTAGCACTTCCCTTCTACCAGGCAAACTCAACCAACCATAATGAAATGTATAGTGCTGTAAGAAGAGCTGTGCGGATAAGAATGGTACTTGGTAGAGAGGTTGAAATCGAAGTCAGTATCTCCACGGCAAATCTACAACTGCCCACAGAAGGATCAACGGTTGTGATCAAGCCCAGGCCACCAAAATCACAGCTATCTGCACTTTGGTCATGTTGCTGGTAGTAGCTGTTAAATGCATAGGATATATTGCCAGGCCAGCTGATATTGAAGCAGGAACCTCCTGGAGATAATGCAGTGCAATCAGCAACAGCACACGCCTGTAGAGAACTGGCAGTGACATTTGACATGTCTTTGTTGTTGTTCACCACACACCATCTGGAGGGAAGGTATTCTACACCCTGTGCATTCACAAGGTTCCTTGAGCCTTGACCTAAATCAATGTGGTACTTTGCCTGGCCGTCGAAAGTGAAGACACCCCAGTGTCTCTCAAAATTTCCAGCGGTTATGCTCCTTTGATCTTCATCTAAAAGGCTGAAGATATAAGTCTCCATGGGAGGTTTCTGGGGTCTAAGTGGGGTTCCCACTTTGCCGTGAAGATGGTCCAGTAGACCTTTCATAAAGGTCTCTGCAATGGAGGAAGAAGCATTTATTGCTCCATCTGTTGGCCATCCAATCTGCCCAACGACAATATCCATGTTCGAAAATCCAGCCTGGGATAATGCTGTGGCCAGAGTATCAAAGCTTACATCAAAACTGTTCTTGTACTCTTTATGGTTGTCTTTACGAGCATGTGCACCTTCTTCAAAAAGAGCGAAATCAAGTGATATATTCTTATTTTGGTGAAGGCTCACAAATGGAGAAATGTTGACAAAGAAAGGGGAGCGATTCTTGCTAAGAAATGTAAGGAGCTGAGTCATGGTTTTGTTGAGATCTGGCCTGAAATGCCCTTTTGACGGCAGACCAGATTCTGACAGGTAGGCATCAGAATTGCATGGAACCACAACTTTCACCTTGTTTTCTAACTTTGCTCCAATCAGAGCTATTTGAATGTTGGTCATCGCACCGATGACAAAAGGCTGGAATTGTCCTCCATAGCTTTGCAGAAATGGCTCATCTCCAACAGCAATGTACCTGGAGACAAATCAGTTACCAATTCATACAGAAGAAAAAAAAAATCAATTTATAAGCAAAACGTAATTCCTTCTACCTATCCATGTATGCAACAACCAATTATTTAATCTGCCCCACCTAATTTATATTGTATGTCAAATAAATCAAATATCAGTTTATTGCAATCCTTAAGTAGATTAGAGAAGCATTAAAAGTTTAAAACCCTTGAAAGTATACCGTGGTGTTTAAAAGGCACACCTAGGTCTAGGTGGATAGACAGGGTGCATTTTAAGGCATGTGTGCAAACCTTTCAAAAGGCATGTGCCTGCTGGTACACTCTGCACCTCAGCCCAAGCAACACTTTTCTTTTAAACATGCCTTCTTTTGTTATTTATTGTAGATTCTTATGTGTTTCACACCTTTGTGATGCTTTATCAATTTCTAAATTTCCATCATTGCTGTTTGTACACTAATAATGGTCTATTAACTTTTAAAATAGACAAAAAACAAAGACATTTCAAATACCTGAAGCCCTAGTTATTGCAAATAGGACCTCAAACAGAAAATTTTCCATTAAAGAAGCAACAATAGTACAATTAATATCTGATTCCTGATCCTAAAATAAAATGAACTGCAACTAAAATTACAAAAGCAACCACTTTACATATAAGGCCATTAGGCCTATTACCCAATGTTGGTTCCAGCTATATGGGGTCTTGGGAGGGGTAGGCTGGATACAGTCCTAACTTTTGGCATTTTTTTGGGCACAAAGTGACTGCTCTCAGACTCTAACTTGCTTTCTTAAGCTTGCCGGCCCGGGATTTTACCATTACACCAAGCAAATGGCCCCTTTAACACCACACTAGCAATTTAAGTAATGCAACTAAGTGATAAATAATTAACAGATTAAAAGTCTCGTATGCTCAAATTGCCAAATGCTTAAAGCACTTGGGTATGATCCATATATGTTTGCTTCTGCTTCCACTTCCACATTTTCACTTTGAATATGGAGAAGGAACAAGTTATGTGCCTGTTCTATAGTCAAATTTATAGTATAACCAAATCCAAAAACATTACACAGATGGCAGAAATGGGAAAGCAGCAATGTGCATGCACAACACACATAACATAAATGTGTGTGTGTGTGTCTGTAAAAATGGGATGTAGAGATTGCAAGCAACATGGATGGGACTAATAAGATAAGATAAGCTTAACCATCTTGAAACCAAGAGCTCACCGTGAATGGAAATATGTAATCAACAGTTCGAGCATGCCCTATTGTCTTATTGAAATTAACTGCATCAAAGGAAAAGATCTCAGGTGCTAAGATGGTTATATTTCAGTTTGATTACATCCAAAACCATGCCCATCAAAAAGTTCTTGGGAACCAGCCAAGAGACCTTAACCAATAATGAGAGCACCAAATATAATCTAGAGTTCTTGGAACTAATAATTTCTCTCCCTCTGCAAGCTCCAATTTCTGTGAACAATGTTAGATGCCTTCTAGCACACCTGTCAAAGCCACAACAACCCATACAACCAATACTGAACCTTCAAGAATGTTTTATGTTTACTCTCAGTGGTTCAAGGAAAGAGCAATGCAGAAAAGGAATTAGGTCGCTGCTTATCCACCTAAGAAGACATCCCAGATGACAAAACTGATCCTAACCTTAGGCATGAGTGTCATCATCTTCTAGAGAAATAACAGGAATGTTATTTACTAGTTTATGCAGGACAGAAAACAGCCCATACTCAAACTAAAGGGCCATATGGTAAGGAAACAACCCAACCCAGAATCAAAGATGATCCCAGGTCTATCATTTTACCTGTGACCTCAGTTGTCTACAACAAAACTTCTAAGATGCTTACTTGGTTAACTAATCAAAACATCTTAAGGTATGGAATTCAAATGTAAAATAAAGGTCATTCTAACATATAAAAAAACAAAACCCATTTGTTTATGATAGAAATATCATGTTTTGGGTTACTTGAGATTGTAAGTTAAGGGTAAATGGTTCTGGTTTATTGTAATAGAAGATATTTAGATGTCATCTTGGCTTTAGGAACTTCACCTGAAGAATGTACTAGGTCTATTAATGTGTTTTGGAACACCTTTCATAACTTAGATATAAAGACAAATAATAATTCAGAATAAGGATTTTGTATTTGGATTTTTGTTACTATGGTGTCTCCATACAACATAGAACCTCAACCTTTTCTGATACTTCATGCTGGTGCAACTCCATCAAGGATTTGATTAAAGAAAATGTGTAACCCGATTCCAATTCTATAAGAAAGGTTTAATTCCTTTAACCTATCTGGTTCCAGTTATTATTCTTGCCATCTTTTTAACTATTCTATGCTTCTTCATTCATTTCTGATATCCGATCTTGAGTTTCCAAAGCCATAAGCCCACAACTGCTTTTGATTTCACTACTTGTTTCTTTACACACCCCTAATTCTTTCTTTAAACTCCTAGACTGGAGAAACCCTATAATCTTTGGTTTGTCTCATATTACTCTGCCACTTATATAAATCTAGTGAATTTGCATGAGGAAGAATCATCATCTTTGCAAGGAAAAGCTAGTTCCTATTTTTTTCTTGTTAAGTATAATGGTGTACCCATTTAAGAAGCAAAAAGGAGAAATTCACCGTATAAAATGTATTGGCTGGTTTACTATGTATGAGTGATCAGCTGCATTATATAGTAAAAGTGGGATCATGGATTTTTATTTTTATTTTTGGAAAAGGGTAAGGGTTATATTCATTACTAGAAGAGAAACAAAATTATTACAAGATAAAGCCCCTGTACACAAGAGTTCGTAACCTGATGCCATTGACTGCTAAAGCAAAATACCAAATAAATAATGTCCTTCATGCGCTTTTTCCCAAATATTCCATCTCTAATTCCAAAGAGACCAACATAAATTGATAAAAAAAAGACCAACATAAGGCARCAAAAAGGTCAAAAGGGTTTTACCCCCTATAGGAAAAACATTAATAGGCGGTCTAGGCAGTGCTGTAATCAACTTAGATAAACCATATTGAGTGCCCCAGTTAACACCAGAACTTCTAAAATGTAAAACTACATCCTATGAGAAAAAGTGCAATGATCTTTTGGGGAGATGGGGGTTTAGCTATTTTTGCAAAAAGTACATGTTTGAGACAAGTATCCTTCTCAATTTAAACTGTATACTGGGAGATTCATATTCAAGTATGTCATCCACCAAAAAGAAAGGCCTCAGTTTGGATGCATATACCCCAAATAAATGGTACAGGGGAAGGAGCTCCTTTCCCCGCCCAACAGGAAATAAACAAAGGATCTTACAGAAAAATACCTACAGGGTCATCCTCCAAAACTCATCTGTCCTCCCTTGCATAGTGAAGCTAGTTTAGACTTGTATGGTTCTTCGTCTTCCACCTGGAGAAGCCTTCTTTTGTTCCCACCTCCTCTATGGCCACATTTTTTTAAGGGGTCCTCTAGTTTTCTATTTTCTTCTAGTATTGTCCTTGCCTTTGGAATCCATTGACATAACAACCTCCATGCATCAAGAATGCCACATTCCTTTACCCTGTGTTTGGTTTGAAGGAAAAAGTAGGGAAAGGAAGGGAAAAGCGGGGAAACCTATATCAACTTTGTATAGGTTTCCCTACCTTTCCCTTCCTTTCCCTACCTTTTCCTTCAAACCAAACATAGTAATAGAGATTGGACATATGGAATGGAGTGAAATAGTGGATTATATGTCACAGTTTTCCAGGAAGAACCTAACTTTCTTGAAAGCCAAAAGAAAAAGGAATTTGAGTTACTGAGGTGTGATGACTGATTTAATGATAAGACCGGGTTACTATTGCTAGTCTCACCCTTTTAAACCACAGAATTTCCAAATTTGGCTACTCATAGTGAGCAATCCATTAAACAGAAGATAATTCAATGCTCCTTGGTAAATGCCAAGGCCTGAGGTGTAGGGAAAGCATTCAGGACTAGAATGGAGAGGTATTTATGTTCTACTAGGGATCAGTTGGATCAGATAATTCCACAAAGGCAGTCTTGCTTATTAGATGCTGAGAGTATCCTTTTCTATGGGTACCAATGGCCTGTTGATGAAAGAGATCCAGAGATCATAATAAATAGAGTACACCAAGAGTTCTTGGAGGTTACACCATCTAATTAGGGGTGCCAGTGCTCTGATCTCTATTCTTGGAGGTTACACCATCCTTCCTCGACTTGCCAATCATCTGTCTCAACATCTCCATTCATGTCTGTTCTTAGATTGTACCATTTTAATGTTTTTCAGGTTCACAATATTTTTTATCCATAAAAGATGACTCGAATATGGCCATTTTGTGAAATTACTGGTACATGTACATGCCAATGACATATCTCTACTTCATTAAGCATTTTAGTGTAACTAAGACTACTCAATCTTTTTGCTTTTTATGAATGCTGAGTTGTTGCCTGCAGTTCTTGTCATGTTTCTATTTATGTATGGCCCATTGCACCATCATGCCTTCTACGGCACTAAGACATGCTAACAGTTGGTACTGCTTCAATTCAAATTATAGTTATTTCCATGGGTTCAACTATGCCCCAGAAAGTTCAGCCCTTGAGACATAGCTTCCCCAAAAATATAGTTGCCAGCTCATCTTAGCAAAACCTCTTCACCCAAGGAGCCAATGTTGCACGATCCAAACTTAAATATTTATCTATCAGTTCATTAGATGCTTTGATCATCACTACCATTTTAGGAATTAGAGGTTGGTCCCTGCCAGAGCAATATCCATCTCTAAAAACTTCTTAAAATCCCTAAACCATGTAATAGATATAACTCCACATAAACAACCAATAAACAAAGTTCCTCTTCTTTACTCTCTAGCAGTGATATCCTCTGATGAATTCTATGGCATAAACAATTTTTTATCAGTAACAACAAGATTTATATTAAGGGTTTAAAATATAAGTACATGAGGTACAAACATGTTCTGACGCCATTTTGTTTTCTGTAAAACCACAGCTTCCAAGGCCAAGTAATTGGTAGGTTTTTGAAACTAACTGGAATGAAATCAATTGCATTTTAATTTTCCTTGGCGTTTCAGCACATCCATCATCTAAAAGGAATACCTTCTCAGAATCTTAACAAAAATTAGAAACAATTCAATGGTTTAAATTCCTAAAATGCCATCATTTCTATTTCTATTTTCATATTTATGACGAATCCATATGAAATGAAGGATATTCAAATGTTAAGGAAAAAATGGATGAGTAATCCATATCAAACGCATTCCCAATGACCTGTTACTAGAGAATATCAGCAGGATCTATCTTAATAATCTAGGATAGGAGTGTTCAAGAGAAAGAGGCAGGTTGGAACACATGATGCTTAGTAATGGTCTAATGGACAGAGTCTAATCATGCAAAGATTTCTTTATTGTTTTGCTGAAATCAAGACAGTGGGCCAAAAGGCCCTTTAAGTGACGGTCCATTCCGAGTCAAAGTGGAATTTCCATGGCATGTAACTGATGGATTTAATGCCATGAACTAATTCACAACAAAAGAGTAAGCCCGAGATCCTCCGATATAAAAAGTGAATTAGAAATATCCTATCATTAGAGCCTAGGCCATAAATAATAGCATATGAAAATGAAGGCGAACTTATTCCAAGTTCTTAACGAACTAAAGATCAAAGAAAAGGCATAAAGTTCTTCTGATAAAGAAATACATTGTCTCGGTACAGTGTAAAACCAATTCTAGTCTGCAGCTGATAAAACCCATCAAGAAAAAAAATATATACAACCCAAACATCAGAAGATAAAATAACATCAAATAACTAGAACTTAGAAAGTTAACGCAAGATCCACTATAAAATGAACAACCAATAAAATAACCCACTTAAAAAAACCGTCTATTCAGAAAGCACACTTTCACCCTAAAGAAGTAAAATGACCCAGAACTCAAACATCTAAGAGTAAAGAGAGATAAGAACAGAACAGGCGGGAGAACAAAATCATAACCCCCTAAAACAAACGAAGGAAAGAATAAGAAAAGAAATCCTTACTCGATTTGAACCCCTGCGCCACCATTAGAAAAATACCGTGTGAGATTATCATGCACCCAGCTCTCTGCAGCTTTCTTAGATGAACTCAAGCTCTTGAGCATGGAATTAGGAATGCCGGCAATGACATTGATTCCTGAGCCCGAGAGAGACTCGAGAACAAGAGGGTCTGCATCGAAGAGCTTTACTTTACTGACATTGTTCGATTTCAACAACTCCACCACCTTGGGAGGTGGTAGAGGGTGCGAAGCAGAAGTGCCCCAGTTCACTCCTATGCCTTGTACCCCCAACTCCAAGCTCGAAACGGCAAATAGCACCAAAACGAGAAAAAGCCTCGGCGCCATCTGTGAGCTTTTCCTTGCTCTTCTTTGTTCATGCAAGCTATCAGACAGGTGGAGAGTGATAGTGATAAACAAATTGAAAGAAAGCAAAATAAAACAGAGGGAAAGGCAGATACTCCAGTCGCCTTTTATTCAGCGGCTCATACCTTATGATGATCATGGGCCATTGACCCCGGCCTGGGCGAGGTTTTTATACTGTTATAACAGCATTTCGAGTAGAGGTCAGGTGTACGGCCCACATTTTCGTGCCGCCCGCACTGTCCCGTGCAGGATGGGGGTGGGGCTAGGCCACGGGCCGAGTTGGGTTGGCCGGTATTATTTTTTATTTTTTTCACTGTAAAAAATCAAAAATTAAAAAAAATTATTAAAAGATTAACGGAAAATTGAAGGAAAACAATGATAAATTCAATTATTAAAAATTAAAAATTTATTTAATTATTCTAATAAAATTATATAATAATTTTAAAATATTTATTAAAAACATAAAAATTAATTATAATAGATTTAATAATATTCATATTATTAATAATTTTATATTTTTATAAAATTCATCACGAAATTATGCATTAACAATAAAATTGTGGTTTCTGGATTATTCAATTTAAATGTTATTTAAATAATAAAAAGTTTACACTAAAAAATAAAATAGTATTTAAATATTTCAATAACTAAATATCTTAAATACTGAAATATTAAAAATAGTTAATTAATTATATAACAAAATATTTAATATTATGTAGTAACTTTGAAACAAACCAACTAACTATTAGTGGAAAACTAGCCAACTTGGGGTGTATCATTTTGGGTCAGTTTTTAGTTTGGTCGATCAGTTTAAAAGATTTAAACTTAAAAATTTAAATTTAAATTAAAAAAATACAGTGGCATTATTAAAAAAAATTATGATATAAAATATTATAGACTAAGAAATATGGGAATTTTTCATTTTCCTATATTAAAAATATAAAATATTAATATTAATATATATATATATATATGGTCAGGTCGTTCAATTTTGATGAATATACAAATGGCCAAAGCAAAACTAATCCCACTTGTTCGGGTTGGGAAATTGTTGAACCAAAGCTGACTGAAAATACGAGTTGGTCGGGTTAATCAGTTTGACGAAAAAGCTTGACTGAAATTAATTATTATTATTTTTGAATTGTAAAATATTATTAAAAGTAGTATATAAAATATAAGAAAAAATCTATGATGTGGGAAATATATGGTATCACAAGAGTTTTGACCAATTGATAAAAAACACATGATTGGCTAACACGTTTATGATATTAGTTGATTGGTCAAAAAAATTCAGCATATCTTTCCCATATTATAGTTGAACCCAAAATATAAATAATTATTAATTATTTAAAAAATTAAAAATATAAGATAATTGTATACTCTTATATGTTTTCATTGTTTCGCTTTCGCTTAACAAATCCCGTGCATCACATGGGCCTCTGCTACTATATGATATTCTTTGAGGCTTATGCATTTTTCGTCTCTGATACACAACCATCTTGTTATCCCTTTAAAACCTCAATATGAATATGATATATAATTTATGTTATATGTGGTATTTTAGAGGGCAAATCTATGATGTGGAAAGACATGATAGTGAATGAGTTTTGACCAATCAAACACCTCCCCCCCCCCAACCCAAGTGAAGGTGGGATTCAATCCCAAGTATCCACTCCAATCAGCCAGAGACAAATTAAGATCTATTGCAAGCAAAAACTCCATGCACACAGTATCGAGTTGCACATTGGGAACCCTACATGTGTACGAAATTTCTGAGGAAATGTTCCCAATGTATGACAGGATTATATATTTGAGGAATTTTAAATGTTTGGAATTTGTATTATCAGCCAAGCTGAGGCCCAATCCATGTTCACCCTTATTTTGGAGTATATTGGCTCCAGTTGTTTGGACCTATATGGATATGATTAACCGTTTGACATGAAATGTGGTAGGGATGTGAGAAGAATTTGTGGGTAGGAGATTCGAGCTCTTTAATAGGTAATCTTGTGCATTGTCACAAAATGGAGTGCCGCATAGGATGGTACTTTTATTTTGATGGGTAAATTGCAAACTGTCACCATGTAAAAATGGGTTATGACACTTGGCCTCCAAATTTTGTTCTATAAAAAGACCCCTAAACTTCTGCATTTCAGCACTTCGTATAGGTTCATGGAAAAAACTATCAAGGCATGCCGCATGCTAAAGCACAATATTTCTTTTCGATTGGGTTATTATACCTCCAAAATCCTTGACAAAGAGTAATTAGGGTTTATCATCCAGGGTTTGAAAGCACAATTAAGTAGCCCAAGAGAAATATTGTGCTTTAGGCTTTAGCAGTCTATTTTCATCATTTCGATAGCTTTTTCTCTTAATGTATCGAATCTTGAATGGACAGTTTTATAATTTTACCTTTGCCATTAACCCTGTTGATGGAATAAGGGAGAGAATTTTGAAATCCAAATGTTGATGGGAGGGGAGTCTTTGTTCCAAAGGTTGCGTTTGGAAAAAGTATAAATACAAATATGTATAATACAAATGCATATAAAATACAAGGTTTTGTGTTCTACATATTTGTATTTATACTTTTATATATATATATATATATGCAAATGCACAAAATGTAGGAAGAAATAAATTATGTGCCACCAAAGAACACATAAAGGGCAGTTGGCACTGAAAAATGGATTTAGGAGCCCTTTTAACCTCACCCGATCCAATGGAATCCTAGTCTCCTCTACTCTTCTTGCACAATAGGATGGAATTCATTAGAATATAGTAAATTGCCGAAACCTCTTCTGAAGCTTTTCATTGTTACTGAGACCTTCCCTGCAAGTAGATCCCTCTATTAGAATTTTCTAAAAGAAGATATAAAAATATCCAAAATACCCGTACCATTTATTATTGAGGCTGCTTTTACACACACACAAACAAAAAATACAAACTTAATAAACAACAAAAAAAATAAAAGATAATTTAAAGTTATAATTTTACCTTTGAGTGATTGATATGAAAGGCAAATTTAGAAAATAAATCAATTTCAGGAAAGAGATTAAAAGAGTTTGAGCTAACAATTCATATGAACAGAAATTTTAGAAAATAAGCATTTTGGTCAAAAGTAACAACATAGGTATTTTAAACATTTTCATGCCTCTTTTTAAAGGATTCTAATATAAGGGATCTACTTGCAACTATGTCAAAAAGTATAGGGGAGGTGATTGCAATTATCAAACTTAAAAAAATTTTAGCAACAACCAAAAACTATAGGAGAGGTTTCAGAAATTTACCCTAGAATATATAATTATCCCTCTCATTCAGTTATATACTTTTATATTTGATAAGGGATATATTCGTAAATAAAATTCTCTTTTAACCCTAAAAGATATCAAATGACCTCTCATAAAATTCTCCTTCCTACGGTTCTCTCCTCTCTACAACCTCTCTTTCCCCTTTCCCTCTTCCTCTCTTTGTTCTAAAATCGTATAACACACACACAAAGGCTCCAAATTGAATTCGAATCAGCATATTTTAAATATTCGATTGATGTCAAATCAACATTTAGTTTTTCCCACACTTAACTTTATGCTTTTAATCATAGAATGAGATAATGTCTTGTTACGATTTGGAGAGTAAAAGAAACTTAATTCGATCATGTTTCTCTTTCCATTATGGTAATGACTTCAATTCTGTTTATCAACTTCTGTGTTTTAAAGTAAGCAAAAAATTAGCATGGGATGTTAGTATGTAAGGTTCCAAGCTATGTGTAAAGGCAATTGATGTTGTGTATTCTGGAAATTCCTTCGTGTTTGATGATTCGGATTCTGATTTAAATGTTTTTTTGTCAGGGCCGAACTATACTAGGCCAAGCTAAAAGGTGGCCGAGTTGTTATGTACTGCAAGAATTAGAGTGCCCAAGTGTTTTTACACTGGGAGGACACTCCGGTGCTTAAGTCAAAGAGTATTTGAGAGTTCTTTGAGAGATTGAGAGAGTTTGAGAGTATATGATTATGCGTACCTCTTCAAGTAGAAATGAGCACCTTTTATAGGCACTAGTGGTCGGGGCCCTCTTGTAACGGGCCTGAGCTTATCGCAAAACTGTTTCCGCTTTGTTGGGTGCATTAATGTGTCGGTTGTGAGATCTGTGCGGGGTTACGATCTGCCTAAGTAACTCTGAGGCGTGCAATGCGGTAAATCATTCTAATGGTCGAGATATCAATGCTCCGGGGATCTCGACTTCATAGTGTATTGCCGAAAATGGTTAACGGGCTCTTCCTCGCAAGTCGCCTTGAACTTCTACAGTTCGGCCAATTCTTAAAACAGGTTTACTAATTCGGCCATGCCGAGGTGGAGATCAGCCTGAACAAGGTGTTCCAAGCTAACTTACTGAACTGGTTTGCTTACTCAGCATCGAGATATCATCCGAAGGCCACGTATTGCTATATAATTGGGAGGGCCAAATTACCCCTCATCAGCAATATGGAAAGAAAGCAATTCAATGCCCCCTGAGTTCAGATTCTAATGATTTTACATGRGCCGAACCCTACAATGTTTTGAATATGGTCCATAAGATCTCTCCATGAGGTTGAGTGGGTCTTTAGAAATGATAGGAGCTGAGTGCATCCTAAGTTAGTTGGGGCTTGACTAACAGGATTCTGTAAGCAGCGTATGTGAGTGATATTAATTGATATTGCCAGCGAATGGGTTTTATTTCTAGCAAATGATCAAAAAACACGTGGGGTGAAACTTAAGAATACCAATAGCCACGTCTTCCTTTGGGATAAATAGAGAGTTGCCAGCCAATCGGTTTTAATTTTCGTAACCGACATTCGCCCTAACCTTTAAAAACTTGGAACAAGTGATTCTCTTGGGCCTTAAGGTTTTCAAAGCATCGAATTTAGGAGAGAATCCTTTTAGGGCTTTGTTGTTTTAAGAGGAGATTTGAGGGGAGAAGTGTGAAACACCATTGACTAGGGGTGCAAATAGATCATGATCCGATCCGACCGGAGATTCGATTTTATTTGATCGAATTCAGATCACCCCTATTCGGATCTTCGGATCGGATAATAGGATCGATCAGAAATCGGATCAAATTCAGATCATCTCTATTCAATTTGAGAATATCCGATCCGATATATGTTATA